GGGGGGGGGGTCTAATATCAGTCATTTCCTCTATTTACCCATTTATCTCTATCTTTTTTATAAAAGCTGGAAGCACTTTGATTTTTCTCGTCATTACCTTCCTGAAAGGGCTTTTCATAAAGTCTGCTAGGAGCTTCATTGATGGGGAATAAAATAAACCTGTATAGAGCTTCGAAGAACACAGCTAAGAGCAGAGGTGACCTCACTTTGTGACACCCCTGGTGTCAACTTGCCGGGAGCAATGGGCTGCATCTGACTTGCAAATAAATTTACATCACTAATGAAAAGTGTGAATTCAGCAGGTTACCCGCACAAAATTCTTTGTTACTCACACACTCTTGGGGCACCCACCTTTACCCAGTTCCGAGGGCTCAAGGCATAACCCTCTTAATTTAGGCACCCACTCTTACCCTTCTGTGGGCTCAGGCATAACCTTACACTCTAGGGCACCCACCCTTACCCTGTTCCTAGGGCTCAGAGTGTAATTTTCTGCAGATTTGCAGGACCTTTTACCGGTGAAAGAGCCTTACACAGTAATATCTTTATCCTCTGTTTATTACCAATCACCAAAACCAGAATGCACACGCTACACACACAATGCTCACCACTCCCAATAGGACAGATGAACTTATCCCTGCTGGCCAGTCGGGGTCAGGTCCATCTGGGGGATTCCAGTTTCTGCACAGTGTTATTGGCAGAGTGTTGCGGTCTGGCAGCTCTGGTGGGGCTGTGTCCCGGGGCTGGTTCCCAAAGAACTTCCTTTTGGACCCCAGTTTATATAGAGAAACATGAGTCCTGCTTAGCTATACCGTAACCCATTATTTTACTAAAATTTTATTAACCAATCCTAACAAAATTCTCTAACCAATCATACCCCACCACCTTAATTAATTTACATCTAGCAAAATTAATTCTGTAACAGATGGAAACGATCAAAGAACCAGACAAAGATCATACACACAAACAGTAAGGAAGTGGGCACCATAATGACAAAACAATAAAGAAATGAGGATTTCACAACCATAACTATTGAGAAGTGGTTTCTTGCCAGGCAGAAAGCTATCAAACTTAAGTTTTCTTTAACCATCTTACGCTCTGTTTCTTTCTCTGGTGATAGTGGGTGCTATTAGGACGGGGTCTCCTTAACAGCCTGATATTACATTGTTTTAATGTCATTTAGATGGAATGTGAGGATGTGACTTCCTGCTTCTCAGCTAACGGCGGCTGCTCTTTTAACTTGGCTGCGGACGAAGGTCTTAGGCCTTACAATATGGCTACAGGCCTTATCCTTACAAGCCCGCTGTAACATTGCTTGTACTGGTCCCTTTTTTGACGGATGAATAGAAATTGCTTGTTTGAAGGTCACCAGCAATAATAGTCTAGATTTGATCAGCTATTAGCTGTACTTTAGGGCCTGTGAGGTGCATTTGATCCTCTGGCCTTTTTTGGGTACCCTAACTTAGGGCTTGTCTACACTGGCAATTAACAGCGCTGCAACTTTCTCACTCGGGTGTGAAAAAACACCCCCCCCCCCCGAATGCAGCACGTTTCAGCGCTGTAAAGCACCAGTGTAAACAGTGCCCCAGTGCTGGGAGCTACGCCCCTCGTTGAGGTGGGTTTTTTGAGGCATGTTAAAGCACTGCCGCAGCAACACCAAAGCATTGCCAGTGTAGACTAGACCTTACTATATATGGGGGGGGGGATAATTCTGACAATTGTCACGCAATTACAATAAGAACTATTGAAGCAGCTAATGGATCAGATCTTGAGCTACCACAATCACTCTAGTGTTCTTTAATCTCAGTTACCCACTCAGGCTTGGAGGCATGGGAAGACTGATCAGCTTCATTCAGCTTGTTTGCAGGTTGTATGAAAATATAATGATTTCTCATGATGGGCTCAGTCCTGTGAGATGCTGAGTGTCTCCAGCTGAGCACCCACATTTTACTTAATTGGATGCCCAGCACCTCTGAAATTCAGGCTGCTCATTTGAGTGCTTGTATACGGATTTAGGGGCTTAACTTTAGATACCCAATTTTGAAAACATTGGCCACAGCCACTCCGTGCCTCAGTTTCCCCATCTATGAAACGGGAATAATACTGTCAATTGTTTTCAGGTACTCTAATGAACTGCACTGTATGGGCCAGCTCCACTAGTGGGGTAAATTGGCATAGCTCCATTAAAGTCAGTGGAGCTACACAGATTTACACCAGCTGAGGATCTGGCCCTTTAAATACACACATTTTTCCATGGCTATTGCAGTGATTAAATAGGGGCTCTGTTGGGAAACTATTTCTTGCTCTGCAATGACTTAGCTATTGGCTGTAAAATTCCAGCTGGATTTATTTGTTTGATTGTTTTAAACTGTTGGGGGGAAAGGGGACAGGGAGAAGAAATCATTGGTCATCTCTGTGTCTTCCAGCAGCCCTGTGCAGCTGTTCATGAAACCTGAAGCCAGGGTGCATAGGCCCCAATTAAGCAAACCATGTAAGGAGTGCATAAATCCATTCCTATTCAATAAAAGCTGAAGTAGGTGCTTGACTTCCAGCACATGCTTTCAGTGACTGACTCTTTAAGCCTGTGCTTAATTGCTTTGCTGAATTGGGCCCTCGCTCCAGCTGAAGACACCCTTCACTTCTGTGAAGTGCCCAGAACTGTGCAGGGTCAAGCCTCAAGTTTGTCTTTTAAATCAAAGGCCACTGGCTAAATAGAAGTTTTCCATTTTGTTGCAAACTCTGCCTGCTGTGATTGATGGATTATTTTCAGGGATGCTTCCAGAGGCTTTACTGCTCAGTGCTTCTGTAGTGATTCCTGTTGGTTTACACATTGAGTGCCACAAGTTTATTTTGTTCCTGAAATGACAAAGCAGTATTGGGAAAAGCTTTCTGGGTGAGCTACTTTCATTAGCTATTGATAGCTGTGCTCTTTTTAACTTTCTACATTTCTTTGGGATTTTCTCTCAAATTTTAATTGTAATCATGTATTGCCTCTCCTCCCTCCATTGTACAGCTGAGTTTGAGTTTTTGGTCTAGGTCTCGGTTCAGAAGTTTCATGCCAGGATGAATTAAGTTTATTATTTACAAGATTTATTTTGGACTAGAGATCCCCACCTGAGATCAGAACTGAATGATATACGCATATAGTAAGTCTCAATCCCTGCCTTGAAGAGCATATGATGCAGAGGTAACATCACTATAGTTAAGGTTGTGTTACAGAGCTGAGTTTCAAGAGGTGCTTTAAATCTTTGTTTCATTAAAGTTTCATTGAAATGGCAA